ATACTTTTTATATTTCATAGCAACTCAGGATTTATTTTCTTTAGATTTTAAGGACTTAGTAAGCCCTGGAGTTGATATTATAGCTCTTGTCATATAACCTGGTGACTTTTCACCAATCAAAAAGGATGAAGGAGGAGAAGAGGATGAGGGAAAGGGAGAAACTTCCCATTGGAGTAGATGCTGCAGTTGTAGTATCTGTTCTGTGTCGGAGAACTTCTCTCTCCCTCCCACCCTCATTGCACAGACAGAATCCAATAATTCTGTAACATCTGTTCCATAGCAGTGGTATAACCAGCTTAGATGAGCTATAACTAGCTATGCCCAGCTTAGACAAGCTATGACCAGCATAGACCAGCAACCTGAATGGAAACACTCAGATCTCTATGTTAAAAACTGACCTTGTGTACAACCTGGCTTAGTTGGGGGCCAAGGTAATGAGGATGAGGGAGGAGGCAAAATGCATGCACCCTGGTCTTTGTGAAAAGAGGGCCTGCACAGAATCTGTATTGAGTTACATCCCATTTATTTTTGTTCCACCAACTGGACGCTAGTTGGAAACTTTCCTGTCCACTCTTCCAGCAATCTTGGCCTTACTACTTCTGGCTACCTCAGATCCTTACTTTCAGCAATCCTTGCCTAAACTTCTTCAATCTACCACTGACCTTATCTTCCAACATCTTACTTCCGGCCCTTACTTCAACCTAACTCACCTGTTTGATTGGCATAAATGAACCTGTTTACAACAGCCCTGGAATTCTGTCTATGCATAGGTCCCTACTTCTGGCTTTCCTATCAACCTAACTCACCTGGTTTAGGAAGCTGCTGCATGCATATTCTCCAAATTTCAAACAACCTATTCCATATACTTCAGTTAAATACGACAGAAGGTTCATTACTGGACTTAACCGACGACTATTCAGACATTAACGCAACATTGTCTATTATCTTCTTGCTGATTTATCATGGATTTCATCAACGCCTACACCAGACAGTAGAGCTATTTCAGTCTATCTTCAACTATCTGGTGTTTCCTATCAAACTAACTCACCTGGTTTAGGAAGTTGCTGCATATATATCATCCAGATTTCAAACAACCTATTCTGTACACTTGGATTAAATACCATGGAAAGTTCATCATTGGACTTAACCAGCAACTACTTAACTCTTTCACCAGACATTTAAGCTGAACTTTCCAGCTATTACTTTCTCACCATGTCATTAACATACCTGGACTTTACTTTTAACATTTAGACATAGTTATTTTATCTATTTTCTTCTATCCATTCAGTATCCCTCAAGTTACTTAAGTCTGCCTCCATTTACTTGATTCATTGTTTGTTCATCTTCCTTTAACTGAATCACTAATTTTGTATATGATGTAAATAAATTTTGTAATAAAGTTTGTTGGTTTGTTGTCCTCGTGTTGACCCATCAGATTTCACATCATTTATTTTAAAATGTTAGTGGGCCTATTGTGACTCTTACTTATTGGGGTGCATAGGCCATTTCATATCATGCTCCCCTCCGGCAGTTCCACTACACCCACACAATCTTGCATCAACACATATATACATGTATCTCCTACCATTTATACAGGTGAATAAGACATCCACACTACTGCACTGACATACATTTATACTCTTCCTGGGTATGATGATAAACTATATCCGTGTCCTGTGTAAGACGATTAACTATGTCCAGCAGCAAGGTGCTGGTGTTCCCAGGTTTACCCTGACCCAGGGTGGTAGCACCTGTTAGGGTCCCAACTATGGGCAAATAGTTAACCCCCAAATTGGGGTCAAAACACTATAAAAGTGTAAAAATAGTTCTTAATTCCAGAAATACTTTGTAAAAGAAAAAAAAATTATTACCATAAATACATTATTATTTTAAGCAAAAATTTTTTACCAGCAATCCTTTTTTGAAAAAATATTATCAGAAATAGATTTTTTTTAAGGAAAAATATTACTAGCAATACATGTTTGAAAAAAAAATTACCAGCAATAAAAATTTTGTCGACATTAAATAACCCATTGAGGTTGATATGCCGTAAAACAAACCAAACCAAACCAAACATACATTTATACATATTTCATTGTACCATTTATGCAAGTGACTACTACATCTAAATACATACATATATATCATATTTATTATAAAACCCAGGTTGTGTGTGTGTGTGTGTGTCTGTACGTTCATATATTGGATTGGATTTCCCACATTTTTCAACTGATTTCAACAAAACTTCATAGGACTACGTAAAATTACCTTGCGGTGGTTCTGACAACAGCAAAAATTGGAAAAACACAATTATTTTTGCACGAAATCAATTTGAAAACACGATTAAGAGGCATTGCTTTTGCAGAATGAAAGGGGGACAACTCATATCAAGTTATACTTATAAAACCTAGGTTGTGTATGTGTGTGTGTGTGTGTGTGTGTGTGTGTGTTCATTTATATATGGGATCGGATTTCTTACATTTTTCAACCGATTTCAACAAACTTCACTTTTTTTTTGGCATGTAGTGTTTCTTATTGTCATGCACACTTTTTTCTTTATTTTTACATTCAGAATGCTTTAAAAATTCCATTTACAGGACAATTGTTTATAATAAAATTCTATTCAATCAGTAGACTCATAACAATTGAAAATAATGTTTTTGTTTGAGTTTGGGTTTGACCAATTCGTAAAAAAAAAAAACTAATTAAGACATGCGTGTCCGTCAACCTTAAACAATAATCTTTGTCAATTTTATTTTTCAGTCTTTATGATGGTTGATACTTGATCTATCTCTTATTGTTACATCCCCGGCAATGCCGGGATCTACTACTAGTATATATATATATATATATATATATATATATATATATATATATATATATATATATATATATATATGATTAGATAAAGAACAAGTAGTAAATGTTTATCAATCTAACATGTTTCACTTTTCTTAAAGCTTCATCAGGGATTGAAAAAAATAGACAAAAGGACAGAACTTTGGTATTTTTAATTTTGTTTGGATTGATTCTTATTGGCCAGTCACCTATATTAAAACCATAGTTAATTCTATATGTATGTAAGTTTGTAAAAATTCTAGTATGTCTAAGTAGGTATTGGATGGTTATGTGTATTCACAACTGTGTATGTGTGTCTGTCTTTTCCTTGACTTTCTCTCATATACACAAGGACATTTATTTTTTTTTTAACTTTTGAATCTCCAATGTATCACTCTATTCTTCTGTATATATATTGTGTTATATAAAAATTTATTTTGTATATATTGAATCTCTCTGCATTTTCTTTCTCTCCTTACACAAGGCCATATAGATAGTAGATACATGGTGGGAAATAACATTGTCATAAGATAACCTTCACCAACACCACCACCACTGCCATAAATGTAATGCCTCTTATTTATTTTCATGGAAATAACAACAGATAAAAGAGCACGATAACACTGTTTGATAGAGCAAATTTTCAGCTACAAAACACTATTTTTCCACATTGTTACTGCTATTGGTTATGAATATTTATAAAGTATAAAAAAGAGCCTGTATGCAATGTTTCTAAGAATATGCACTAGCAGAGGTGACCTATTTTATCAAACATTGCCAATACTGAAATGCATTATCCTTCATCTAACTGTGCTCACATCCACTGTTTGGTCTCTATAAATATTCAACAACCATTGATGAATATCAATGAGTATATGGTATATAGAGATGAAGTAAAGGCCAAATTTGCTGTCTATGGTACCATTTATTGTTGACTCCATTTGATTACAGTGTTTAAAATGGTTGACTATCGTCATAGTTCTTTTTTGTGATTTGAGAGTTCATACAGGGTTGTTGTGTTCCTTCTGGTTGACAGAAATTAATTTGTTGCATTCATCCTTTCTTCTTCTTTCTCTTCTGGAGTTGTACGTCACTTCAAACTCACAGCCAATGAATCACCAACCCTTGCATCTTGAACTGCTACCTCGAATCAAGTTCATCTTCACTGCGGTGTACCTAGTCTGGTATGTGGTTTTCTTCTTTTTATTAGGGCTGAGACATCTGTATTTCCCTTTTGATTTTTGGCGGGACGTGTTGTCATTTGTTGATTTTTTTTTATGACGTTCACTGACACGCATAAACTAAGTCTGGGTTCATATCCATTACTGAGGATAGGAACAATAGAAGGAAGGAAAGGAAATATATAAAAGAGAAGGAGAGAGAGTTTCCTTTGTCACTCACTTAGTAAAAAGGAAAGTGTATATTTTCATATGGTGTTTTAATACCTAATCCTACAACAGGTAATTTTTTTCTGCATTGAAGAATTCGACGATTCACTTAAGCTTTTTTCTGGCTGAATTTTATTTAGGAGTTATTATTATTTATATCATTTGCATGCAGACTATTGTTCTCATCTTCATTGTTGTTATCACAACGTTTTGGCCATTGTACCCTCTCCAAAATGTTGTGATAACAAGATGAGGGCAATAATGCATGTAAATACTCACTTCTGCTTTATATGCACTTTTCATTTCATACACCATTTTGCTAGAATACCCCTTAGTTGCTATTGTTCAAGTTCTGGCAGGCTAATGACAAATTAGAAGTGATGAATCAATTTTATTCATTTCCCAATGCTTTTCAACAAAGCAAAAAAAAAAATGGATTTATGAAAGGGTTTAACCTTTACTATGATCCAACTAATATCTGTCTCTGAGATTGTGAATTGGTTGCAAATATCATAAAATATGTTGCATTACTTTTGGAGCAACAGCAGTAAGTTTTAATAAATATAATTATTGTACTTTCCATCCTAATTTCTGGGATACTGTTTTCTAAAAGAAACATGAAAAATAAACTATTTAAAGATATTTTCTAATTTTACTTCACTGGTTTATTAGCCAATGAAAATACAAAAGCTGGATAACTGCGGAGAAAAAAAAATATTTACTTCCGGTACGAACGGCATGGACTCACGTCCTTGAATGTTATTTATAAGAAGAATGTTTCTGCTCGTCTCTCGAGGTCGTCTTTCTCACAATATCAGCGGTTTTTTCATACCCAGAAGATATCGATATAAGAAAAAATGGGTACCTATTTAATAATTTGTATTTTACACATTAAAGGAAATTAAATGCTTTACTTTTTTGTTTTTACGTTCGATTAACTTTTAAAAACAATGTTGTTAGAAAAGAATTTATGCGGTAGCGGTTACAATACATATTTTCTTCAAAAATGCTTTTTTTTGTTTTAAGACTGATATAAAAAAAAAATGATTAAATCACCAATTGCTTAAAAAATCTGAAAGAAATTTATCGACACTCAGTTTTTATTTCTTTCGCATTTTTTTTATTGATTTACCATTGCTCGTAAATATAAATTATTTAATTCAATAAATAAACAAGACAAAATTTCAGCTCTTCTGACATTTTTTAATTTTTAATATTTGTTTTCATTTTCGTTACTGTGAGAAAAAAAAGTCACTTTGCAGGCCTATTTTTCATGCAACAATGTACCTCCACAAAAACGCAATACCTACGTTTAAATTAAAATTAATTTTTAATGAAAAATCTTTCTTGAAGCATTTTAAATTTTTTTGGTTTTAATTTCAAACTGAGATTTAATAATTCCAATAAACAAAAATGCTGTTAAAAATTGATTGGAAATCTAAATATCTATATTTCTGGGATATTTAATTATTTTATTACACTATTGTTGGGGCTGGTGGATAAAAGCGTTGGCTGGATCCAGTAACTTGACCCAAAAAGAGTTGTAAGTTCAATACCTAGCTACTGCAGTAATGAACAAAAACTTGAAGAGTTGGGTTAAAGGGAGATAAATGAGACAGTCAGAAGAGGCTTGTCACGTGGAATTAGAACACTCTAACCCCGTGTATGAAATAAAGGGTTTGGTTTGAAATTCCAATCACCTGAAGAAGACCGGAGCATACAACTGCTGAAACCTCATGAATATGGCAACTAAGATGGAGACAACAGTCTGAATGTAAATAGTCTAAATAATTGGAAATATAAACTGAAGTAAATTCCTTTTATTTATTATTTATTTATTAATTTGAATAATGGGATTCTGGAATCTAATTCAGTGATTTTTCTTTAGTATTTATTCATTAAATTTTGGTTTGGTTTGTTTTGTTTGACGGCATATCAACCTCAATGGGTTATTTAATGCTGACAAAATTTTTATTGCTGATAATATTTTGTTTTGTCAAAAAACTATTTCTGGTAATAATTTTTCCTTCAAAAATGTATTGCTGGTAATAATTTTTTTCAAAAAAGTATTGCTGGTAATTATTTTTTCCTCAAAAATATACAGCTGGTAATATTTTTTTCCAAAAATGTATTGTTGGTAATAATTTAAAAAAAAAAGTATTGCTGGTAATAAATTTTTCATCAAAATATATAGCTAGTAATTTTTTCCAAAAATGTGTTGCTGGTAATATTTTTTTTTTTCAAAAATTTATTGCTGATAATAATTTTTTACAAAGTATTTCCAGTATTAAAACCTATTTTTACACTTTCATAGTGTTTTTTACCCCAGTTTCCGGGTTAACTATTTGCCCATAGCTGGGACCCTAACAGGTGCTACCACTCGGGATCAGAGTGGACCTGGGAATGCCATCAATTAAGAGGTGGTTTCACGCTCCTCAAAACCTCCTGATCAGAGGCCTTGCTGCTGGATATAGTTTATCATTTTACCCAGGATGCAGATGTAGTTTATCATCATACCCAGGACGCCATTAAATTTTGAAACTTTTTGTGATGCATTATTAATGTTCAAGTCTGAAATTGGTAATTTCACTAAGTAGGAATAGTTACGTGACACAAATGAGCAGTTTTTTTTAGTTACCTAAGATAAAATTAGGAAGATTGTGTGGCTCCAATCTGCAAAGTTGTTTTTTTGAAAATCAACACTCATATGTAGATATTTTCCACTAGCACTGGTGGAAAATATACACAACTATCTTTGCCACAAAGCAGGCCACTTAGTATAGTTTAGATACAAATGCTTAAACCTCTGCTTTATTAAAGCATAATTTCTGGTATTTAGAAAAGAAATAAAAAATGATGCCTGTAGAGAATAAGCAACTATGGAAATTCTTGATAATATTATTATTAAAGTTTAATAATTAAATTAAGTTACTGAAGTTACAGTTGATTAGCACTACCAGCAATTTGACCATTCTTTGAACAGCATTCAGATTGAACTAAGTTTTTTTTTTTTTTTATTATTATTAGTTACAATTTGGTTTAGTTATAGCATTTTATATTAATAGTATGTATTTAACATTAAAAATGGTTTGAATTAAAGCCTTTAAAAATATTGTCTCCAAAAAAGTTTGTCCTCAAAGTATTTCTTTGGTTTAATAATTATTAAAAAAATCCATTTAGTATAGGAGATAAGAAATTTTTTTATGTAGGGGTACTTTTGCCCAGCACCATAATATACTCTAAGACCAAAATATTGACCTGAAAACTGGAGTCATCATATTATAATTCCACTTCTTCCATCATTAGTTAATAAGTTAACAAGTGTATTACATTCTGTCATTACCTTAGATAAATAATGAACCATTCCATTATATAATAATATGACAAACCAGTCTTTCCTCGCTATTCCAGATAGTGAGGAAAGCCTGAAGAAAAGGTATATCAAGAGATGCTGTTTGGTTTTAGTGACAAAAAGAAAGCATGCAATAATAAGAAAGAAATGGAAGATAGAAGAGTTTATCTATTTATTTATTTTTTTTTTACAGTAAGGTTCACCCTGTACAATACCCTGGAGCCACTCAAAGTATAGGGAGGAGAAGATAACGGTTAACTCTAGACTTGAACAGGTTAAAATTGTAGTGATCAGGGAAACATCCTCTTGGAAGTCTGTTCCACAGAGCAGTATGCAGGAAGAAGCTGTTTGAGTGGAACTTCTTGCTAATGGAATACAGAGGGAATGTAGGTAGTTTGCTACAATGTAAGTGGCATTGTGGGTCCTTGCTGTGAAGTTAAAACCTGGCAGAACCAATGAATGTAGTTCATCTGAGCACTATCCATGGAAGTAGTGATAGAACAACTTTTCATTTGTACCCTCTTACTTCTTACTGTGAGAAAATAATGATATAATCAAGCTGTTAACTTTCCTCCAAATTAACAAAAGCAAAAAGATTAGGAGAAAACTATCATGAATATTAGAAGAAGCTATAAGATTTAGTGGACTTGAGAAGTATAATTTCATGAAAAAATTTAATAAGATTTTATAAATTTCGACTAACAGTAACACTAACTCACTAGGAGTAGATAAATTCACTTATTGGCTGGTTCACACTCCTCCCCAGTCATTTGAACAGAAGTAAAGCTTTAACCTTGTTTCTTGTTTAGGATTGGGTTTCCAATTCCTTCTAAATTCCACTTCAACTCTATACTTCTAACGTCGCCAACTGTAATTTATACTATTATTGAGTTTCGGGTTCCTTCAAAAGTTTTTTTCCATCTCTTTCATTTTAAGTACCCCACTTGCATCTTAGTAGTGTTATGATCTTGCTAGGGGGGAACTGATTTGGAAAAAAAGTCATTAAATGCTAAATTTTTCCTGCATGGAAATTACTATTTTACCATATATATATATATATATATATATATATATATATATATATATATATATATATATATATATATAACGTTTATTCCAACTTAATTTCAATAAAAAACAAAATAAATAGAATAACATAATAATAAATAGAATAAAAATTTTGTCGGCATTAAATAACCCATTGAGGTTGATATGCCGTCAAACAAAATAATAAATAATAATTTTTTTCTTTTTTCCTCAGTAATTTTATAATTGTAAACTTAATATAGATTAAATTTAAATTTTAAAATGGATAATTTTTAATTTCAAATTTTATTGTATAATTTAATATTTATTAGTGAGAATAAATTCTATTTTAGTCTTACCCCAACATTAAGGTATTAAATAATTATTGTAATCTTAGTTCGTTGTCATAGTTTTTTGAATTCTCCTATTCCTGTATTTTGATTGGTCATTACAGCTTATGTAACAGCGCCCCCCCCCTGGCGAGGGGTGTTTGATTGATTTGAACCTTTTAAAACCCTTTTTTCTACATTCAACACCATCACTTGATAAGACACCAGAAGTGTTGAAACAAAATGACTATTTTTGTAGTGATTTTATAACATAGTTATGTTATAATTTTCAAATAAATAAATAAATATATATATATATATATATATATATGTATGTATGTATGTATGTATGTATGTATATATATATATATATAATGTTACATTTTAATGAATTTTAGGAAAAGGAAATAGGTAGGATGTAGATACCGATGTGTGTTTTATGACCAGTCAGTGCAAATTTAATTATGATTTGTAATAATAACCTGTCATGTATGGGAAGTTATAAGTTTAAAAAAGTTTTTACTTTGTATGATATTCTAATTCCTATTTTTTTTATTCTTTAGGCCACACATTTGAAGGAAAAGACAAACACAGACCATGCACTTGAATATTTTGATGTTTACCACAGGCCACTCTACGGCAAATTTTGGCCCTCAATCCGCATTTCCTTGCTCTCTCAACAGAAATATGGTGCCCTCGTTAATAACTTTTCTCTCGATGAAAGTATAGTCAGCAGACTCAAGCGCCTGAGTGCTTTTGATATTATCCAGCAAGCAAAGGACACCAAACCACTTGTTAAGGAGAATGTAATTCCCATAAAGAGTGAAATCACAAAAGAGGAGGAAACTTTTAAATTTGATCCTGAAGTAAATGAAGAGCCTGAAAACTTGCACACTTTTATGCCTGTAATGAAAGTACATTCAGAAAAACAGTTGCTTAGGCAAGAAGAGGAAGAACAGAGCATTTATGTACCTAAAGACATTGTGAAGACTGTCCCCTGTTCATCTACAAGTCTCCCAGAAAATTTGAAGTTGTATACATATGATTTGGGAAATGTGAATAGTTTCCCAAGACCAAGCCTTGCCAAAACTGGTCTTCTTGGTGAGTTTAAACTTTTCTGTTGTTTATTACACTTGAATTGTATTGCATGTTATCATTGTTGTTAACCCATTAAATTATAAGATCAATAAAGTTAGGTACCTCCACGAAATCGCTAAAAAAAGAGCATAGCTTGATGAAAAAGACGCCAACCTTGCCGAAAACTAATTTTTATTGTCTAAATGCTTATGTTATTATTAAGAGGAAAGACCAAAGTTTTTTTTTAATTATCTTTAAAAAAATTTTCTTCTTTTTAGAACATTCTAAATTTTGATTAAAAAAACCTTTTTTCTATTTGTATCAGCGGAACTAGTAAATAACATAGACAATTTTTAGCACGTTTTTTTGGTATGACACACATTAATTTGAAAAATCGTGCAAAAATAGAAATAATTATCGGATGTTAATGAAACTTTCAGGAACTATTCACAGATGATCGAAATTATTATAAATATGTTTTTTTATGAAAGTCATGGTAGAAATATTTTTTAAAAATATTTATTACCCCCCATAACTAATTTTATGAAAACGCTAGAAATTGATCGCATCGGTTTTAGTGATTACAATAATTAAAAGCACAGGGCTTTGAGGAATGCAAATCATTTTTTTTTTTTTTTTTTAATTGGATACGCAGTACCTGAAAATCAGCTCTGAATTGTAACATACAAAACTCAATAAAACAAAGATATTATTTAATTCCAAATGCTTTTATTTGCTTTTAGTTGTTTTTATGAATATGGACAATATTTTCTGAAAGCAAAAAATTTTTTCGATGAAAAATGAATTTTTAATACAATTATTTGTTATTTCATTAATTATAATAGATTTTACATTTAAGTTGTTAAAATATTATAAAATTAGTTAAAAGTCAAGATCGGCTTTCATAAGTGTCCTTATGAGATAGATCTTTTTTAGCGCGTTGTAAATTGTATCATTTTGACTAATCAGAAGATACCCAGTAATTAAGAAATGTAATTTTGTGCTTATAATCGAGCTGTAATTATAAAATACGGAAGACCAACCAGAATATAATTAAGCTACGTTATTTGAGTTAAGCATTGTTCTCCGCTGTTAAGGCCTTTACTTTTTACGAAACACGTGTGGAGAAGTTAATTTGATTTTCAGTTTCAACTGAGAAGGGTACCTACAAGTATCAGTATCATCTTATGAAATTTATATGATCTTATTTTTATATTAATCTCAGTTACGACATTTTTCCATAAATGAAATATCAAAATTAATAATAAAATGAATGCAAATACAAATAACATTAGAATGTAATAAATGTACATAAAATTATAGTATTTTTATGTACAATTCTGATAAAATTTCATAAGAAAGGTACCTATAAATTAATTAGATACCTTTCTTAAGAAATATGAAATTTAATGTCACTCTTAACAGTTTTATTTTAATTTCTTTACAATATATTTCCCATAAAGCATCAAAAATGTAAAGGTGAAAGCTAAGTACAAAAAAAAAAAAAAAAAAAAAATTAGACCGCTGAAAGTTTTCGTTAAAAAAATAACGGGGTAAATAATTTGTTCACGTAAATGTAAATTATTTCACTTTTCTCCTTCAGAGAACAAATTAGCCTCATGGAATTTGTAAATATATCATTCATCACATGTCAAGAGACGCGAAAGTTTATGACCTGCTTTGTTTTATTTTCAAATTACATCTTTTTTTTGGCACAAAAAGCTAAGTTAAGTTTGGTTCAAAATATTTTAAATAAACATTATAATTTCTGATTTTCTTAAAATAAGTTTTGAAAAAATGATAATTGATATTTAAAAAATTTCAAAGTCAGATTTCCAGTTTTTTTTAAATGGAAAAAAATGTCCAATTTTGCTGACTCAAAAAAAAAAAAACTAGATTTTTAACGAAAATTTCGGACGTGCTAGGAACGATTAAAAAATGGAAAAAATACCCCAAAAATACTTTGACCTTTCCTCTTAATAATAACAAACATTTAGACGATAAAATTTTGTTTTTCGTCAAGTTTACGCGTCTTTTTTCATCATGCTATGCTCTTTTTTAGCGATCTCTGAGGTACCTAAATAAAGTCCAGTATTAATTAAAAAATCCAGTATAGGATGCTAAAAAAAAGTTTGGAATTAATTATAAGTTACTTATATTAAGACTGTTGTCCTAATTTTTGTTGTTATTTCACATTTCACTCTTGCTCTTTGACCTTCTTCAGGTGCTTATTGCCGTCCTGGGTATGACAATAAACTACATCTGCATCTTGGGTAAGACAATAAACTACGTCCAGCAGCAAGCCCTCTGATTAGGAGGTTTTGAGGAACGTGGAACCACCTCTTAATTGCTGGTGTTCCCAGGTTCACCCTGACCCGGGATGGTAGTATCTGTTAGGGTCCCAGTTATGGGCAAATAGTTAACCCTGAAACTGGGGTAAAAACACTATGAAAGTGTAAAAATAGGTTTTAATACCAGAAATACTTCGTAGAAAAATTATTATCAGCAATACATTTTTGAAAAAACAAAATATTACCAGCAATACATTTTTGAAAAAAAAATATTACCAGCAATACATTTTTGAAAAAAAATATTACCAACAATGTTTTTAAAAAATAAATATTATTAGTAATACATTTTTGAAAAAAAATATTACCAGCTATACATTTCTCAGGAAAAAATAATTACCAGCAATACTTTTTTGAAAAAAATTATTACCAGAAATAGATTTTTGACAAAACAAAATATTACCAGCAATAAAAATTTTGTTGGCATTAAATAACCCATTTGCCGTAAAACAAACCATACCAAACCAAAAGCAGGTGCTTATCAGGAAGTTAATCTTCAGGGAATTTCAAACTCAACCCTTTATTTAACCTACAAGGATAGATTGTTTTTGTTCTGCTGCTGTCTATGTTTAGGGATATCCCATGGTGCACTAACCTAGTGGATTAGAGCATTGGTCGATAAGTTTTGTGACATGTGAGTTCAATCTGTGAACCAATTAGTGCAAACTCAATGGAAACAGGCCAAGCAATAACTGAGCAGTAGTAAAATAAACAAGATACCATTAGGCATGAACAGCAGAATGAAAACAATCTTTCTCTGTAGATTAAATAAAGGGTTATATTCACTGTAGGTTATCCAGATTGACAAACCCCTGAAGAAGTCTGGAGAGTACAACAGCCGAAATGTGATAACAACAAAATTACGATAATAGTCTAAATGTTAATAATGTAAATAATGACCACTCCTCATCCCAGAAATTCAGACAGTAATTATAGGTTTCTAAAACTCTGGTATAGCTTCTTTCTTTTTCTTTTGTTAAAAACTCTGTAAACAAATTAATGTCAGAATATTGTTAATAATATTGTTCTTGGCTACCTTCCTCTCTTTTGAAAGAACTCTCATGTCCACATGCACGGTGTTGGTGTCTATATTCATGAACATCTCCCAGTGGCAAGGGACTGTCTCTTGAGTTTCCAGAATGTTCTTGCCTGTGGAACTCTCTTCCAGTTTTTTGCTTTCATATTACCTACAATTTTCAAAAATTTAAATACAATTCCAATTACTATCTTCTGTCTTCCAGAACCCAGTTCTTTTATTGTCCTTTTTTTCTCACTAAAGACTTCTCATTCTCTTTCACTCCCAGTAACCCCTTCTGTCTAAGTAGCATTATTATCTTACTCAGGGTGAAATGATAAAAAAAAAATCTAATTTTATGAAACTTACATTGGCTACTTTCAGTGGGTATATACGTTTTCAAGACACTGTGAAATATTCGTCCCTAGTGTTTCGGTTATAAATATTGGTCTCTTATGCATTTTCGAAACTGTTTCAAACATATAGAAGCATACAATACAACTGTTGTTTATAGCAGTGCTTGGTATATGACTTTATATATTTACTAGTCAGGCATCCCATTTGAGGTAATGAGAAATTCTGTTGTTATGGAAGCAAAACAATAAGTGAACATAACTTGTGTTAACAATGGAATATCTTATTAGTAAGTAAGGTTGTTAATATACGGCTTTTCATTTTGTTTTGTGCTACCATTTTTTTTTTTTTTGATATTTTTACTTTTAATGATTTAAAAAACCAAATTAAGTTATTTGTGTAGATGAAAATCGAAGATTACTCATGTAAGAAATATAACCAATGAAATTATAAAATTATTTAAATATAATTTATTTTTGGGCGGGATGAATTGTGCTAATTTTCTTTTAATATTTTCACCTTTAATGATGCAAAAGCATAATTCTTTCCTACAAGCAACAACTGAATTAATTGTATAGCTAAAAAACCTACATTATACATACAAAAAATATAATAAACACAATTGTAAAATTAAATCTAGTAGTCATTTTCTGATGGGATTGATCATGCTATAGCTCCCCTTCGGTTCAGGACTCGAACAACAAATGCACGAATCACAGAGCTCCAATATGCAGATGACAACTGCACTTCGGCCTATGAACACAAGAACTCTAGAACTCAGCAGACAACTTCCCCAGAGTGTACATGCACCATAGACTCAACACCAATGTGGTAAAGACTGAGGTTCTGCTCCAGCCATAACTGGGACATCAACCACCACCTAGAGTCAAAATCTCCATCAATGGACTGGACCTGGAGAATGTTGAATAATTTCCATACCTTGGTCGTGTATTAACATCAAATGAAAATGCTGAAAAAGACATCAATAAATGAATCAAATCTGCCCATGCAGCATACAGGAAGATATTCAAAATGGGTTTTGGCACTCCTGGACTAACACAAACCACGAAGCTCAAGGTCTACCTAGCTTTTGTAATCTTGACTCTCCTGAGTACTCTACCGAAGAGACATCTGCAAACTTCATCAAGTGAAACTTTGTCAAATTCTGTGGAACACATAGCAGTTCCGGATCAGAAGCAATGAATTTCTCCTCTATACAAATATGAAAAGCCTAGAAATCATCATGACTTGCCACTGAATTCAATGGGCCGGACACCTTGCCTGAATGCCAGACATGTGCCTACCCA